ATACATCATCTTAGAATTCCTTGGGTTTGGTCTATCATATAGTGTTGGCTGCCAATTTCTGGCCGTGTCAATCGTACATTAGGAATGCTCAATATCCATACATATATATCAATCAATACTTATTGGACGCCCTACTCTTCCAAAGCATTAGAAAGCTATACGAATTCTTTTTTTAACCATGTGCTTTTTGTCTTCATCTGTCTGTTGTGGTCAAAGTTACAGCCCAAACTGTCAGTTCAAGACTGAAACAGTTCTACAGTTAAATTACACGGTGCGGGTATAATTGGCCATCTAATTACTGTGTTAAGACTGCTTTGAGTCCCACAACGGACATTTTCTACCTCACCAACAGACAAACTGCTCACTAAATTTGGCCACTAATTGTGTTAACTCATAGTTAGGCAAACACCTCCTTGATACATTTGTTCTTTTTCCAGTTTATCAGAAGGAACTGTGTCGGAAGCATTTCTCCATGCTTTAACACAATGCATTGATCCCATTTCTTTCTCCTTAAATTGATCAAGAACAATACATCCTGTGAGGGAGAGTGAAGGAACAAGCAAAGGAATGAGCAAAGAATCATCCATATTTAACAAGCATAACAATTTTGTCAGCATGCGGAGGAGCCACTGATACAAGCTGGTGATACAAAGGATGCCAATACGGAGGAGTTGCTGATATGAGTCGCTGATACAAGATGCTGATACAAGATGCAGAGGATGCTGGCTGATATGGAGGACAGATGCTGGTACAGAGGAGGGATGAGCAAAGAATCATCCATATTTCATAATCATAACTATTTTGTTTATTACACTGATTCTAATGGTCCAACCACTGTGCTTAACTCAGTAGTACTAGTATCCACAGTTGGTAGAGTTTGTTCACTGTTAACAGTGGTTGCATCTGTGTTGCTTGGAGAAACAACAACATCACAGTTTTCATCACCAGCAACCCTATTGTCTTCCTCATCCTCATCCTCAATGTCCCATAAGGATTTCATGTACTCAGTGTTATCTTTCAATTCGTCTTCCTTGCTTTATCTTTCCTATTTTTGTCATTTCTTACCCTAGAGCAGTAGTCACTCATTCCAAGCCCAAACCACTCATAATTGTGGTAGTTGCTGTGACAAAACTTCCAGATGTGGTCTCCATTAGATGAGTCCCTCTTCTTTGGATGAGCATTGCTGCTGCAAAGAGCAGGGACAACACCACATAGCTTGCACAAGCTGTACAGTCAGTCCCACCAGTCTAGTCCTTAGCAAAAATTAAAACTGTCTGTCCTTCATCTGTTTCTCCCACTAATTTCCCAGCAGTAATTTCTACTAATAATCTAGTCACTATTCAACAGTGGTGTAATATCACAAGAATCAATTTGACGCCCAACAAATTGGTATATACAGAATCACCAGTATTAAAAACTGGAGTAGACAGTATGGTGTTCAAAAATTAAAATAGTGGTATTTTTGATAAAGTTATAACCACTTGAAGGTTGGGTAGTATAACTAGTAGTATGGAGTAAAAATGAAGTGAAAAAAAATCTCTGGTGAAATTTTTCTTGTTGGTACTGAGGATGGAATATGAGGAGTTTTCACTTCATGCTGCAGAAGCATCCCTCCTAAATTAAAACCCCTGCCTCAGGGGGCATTGAAATCCATATTCCATCCTTGGTACCTAAGAAAAATATCCCATCATTTCATTTCTACTACTGCATAATACTAGTAAAACTATTCAAGTTCTGAGGAGTCATAACTCAATCAAAAATACTAGTACTATTAATCTTAAAGTACTGCACCTCTACAATTTTTTGTGAGGATTCTGCAGTATATACTACAATTTTCTTTAATATCAAATGTATTGTTGTTGTTGTACTACTACTTTATTCCTTCACATACCATTAGTATATCTACTACTAGTAGTACTAGTATTAGTAGTAGTACTAGTACCTTTTCCACCCCCTGCACCAAAGTACTACTACTACTACTAGTCCTACTACTAGCAGTAGCCACTACTTGGAGTAGAGAATGTAGTTTGTTCCTTTGCTGTTGAATAGCCCACTACTGGTGCTCAATGTACTACTAGCTACTACTACTACTACTACTAGTAGTAGTAGTTTCCTACAAACAATGGTACTACTAGTCTACTATTACTACTACTACTACTACATCACACAAACTGATACCACCATGGTGTTTTGTTGCTTTTTCCTGCATCTATAAAATTAAATTTGCACACATATTTTGCACTCCTTGTATGCAAGAAATATTTGGCCCTTATCCTTGGAAGATGTTCTCAAACCACTCATTCTTTCTCATGAGGAGTTTGATGCCCTTTCTCATAGTAGTCGTTTTATTTTTTTATTCAAAGCAGTTTTTTTCTCTATTTCATCACAACATAAATACAAGGGGGTTTGACACATGATTTTTAAAAAGTGGGTGAGTATTCTGAAAAAATGTTGTGAGAGCATGCGAGAGGGTGCAATTACTTTTTGTGACATTACCTGGAAAGCTTCCTGGAAACTACTTTCATAAGAAGAACGCTGCTGGGGATTCCAATGGGAARTGGAAAGCAAAAACATTACGTCTTGCTAAGCCTGTTTCTGCCCTGAAAACTGTACCAGCTGATCCTGACAAAGGAASCAAAGCCTACTACAGAGGAGTCCATTGTTCATTGCAGAGCACTGGAGTGTGAAACTTATGATCAGTGAACTCTATTTCATCTTCATCTCTTTATATTCATCAGAAGGAAAGGGGTAGGGGGACGGAGAAGCAGAGATGGGGCATTGAAATGAATGAGTCACGTGAAGTTTATCTTTAAATGTATGGAAAACTTGACCACATTGATTCATATATTTCCAACATAAATTACAAGAAATCATGGAAATACTATCATGCTGCGGTTAATCATGAGAAAGCCTTGGCCATTGCTACATAGAGGAGTGCACTGGTGACAGAAGCCTTGGTGGACAAAAAGATCCTATTGCATCTGTGGCAGGAATAAGAAAATTTTAACTCCAGCAGGGATTTTTTTCAATTTGATTCTTACTGCATAATACTAGTAAATCTATCCAACCTNTTGCATCTGTGGCAGGAATAAGAAAATTTTAACTCCAGCAGGGATTTTTTTCAATTTGATTCTTACTGCATAATACTAGTAAATCTATCCAACCTTTTAGCAGTAACAACATTATCAAAAATACTACCATTGGAAAATTTTTGAGTACACTGCCTAGCTCAGTTTTTCATTAGGATTCTGAATATGCCAATATTTTTAGTGTCAAATGGAATGATAGCTAGCAGTGTGTGTACCTTTTCACTGTCATTGAATATTGACTAGATTACTAGTAGTAGAAATTACTTCTGGGGAATTAGTGGGAGAAACAGATGAAGGACAGACAGTTTGAATTGGATTCTGAATATGCCAATATTTTCAGTGTCAAATGGAATGATAGCTAGTACTAGTAGTGTACCTTTTCATTGTCATTGAATATTGACTAGATTACTACTACTAGTAGTAGAAATTACTTATAGGGAATTAGTGGGAGAACAGATGAAGGACAGACAGTTTGAATTTTTGCTAAGGACTAGACTGGTGGGAATGACTGGACAAAGGACAGACTATTTCTACTGTAAATACAGTACTAGTACTAACTCTACTTGTACTACTACTAGTACTACTACTACTAGTACTACTACTAGTACTACTACTACTACTACTACTACTACTACTACTACTACTACTACTAGTACTAGTCTGTTACTACCACCAGCCCTGTGTCAGCACCTTAATGCTTAAACTGCAGACACCAATAACAGTGAAAATTTTCTTACTACTTGACTATGTGAGAGATGTGCATGTGAAGCTTGAAAATTAGAGAGTGATTAGAAGTGTTCCTGTGGATGGGGTCTTTCAGGTACACTTTTTGCAGTGATATGCAGTAAAAATAAAATTGAAAAAAATCCCTGGGGTTAAAATTTTCTTATTCCTGCCACGGATGGAATATGAGTTTCTAAATTATGACCCCTGCCGTGAGGTACGTACCGTACCGTAGGTCTACGTTAAGTTTCTGTTTTTTCGTGAATCACTCTCGACAGCTTGAATGGGTTCTATCGTAGATGAAGACACTGGTCGAGGAGGTATTAATTGGAAACGTGTTATTTTATTTAAGGTACTTTCAAACATCCATTACCAGAAAAGAACAAAATAGATAATTAGATTATTCGATTCTACTCTTCTGAGGAACAATTCTGAAGAGCGTGGAAATCAAGACGTTACTTATTCAAACCTATTGTCAATGAAGAAATTAGATTGATGAATTGGATCAATCGGATGAAATGAAAAATAGTACGTAMGGTACGTGCTTATTCCTCTGTTGTTGTTCGATGAAAACTTTGAAAATAGCTTATGTAAATATAGAGCTAGCTGTCGATTATCATGAGGTACATAAAGCTCTATTTTAGACGACAACTATTTTCGGAGATCAAGATTAACTGCATAGGACTTACAATTGGTTGAAGTACGAGTGCCTCAGTGGTATCAAAAGAGAAACAAACTGGCAAGTTGCACATGCACTGTAAAATTTAAGACCCGCTGATTGTGATTTTAACCGCTACTTAATCCTCCTCCATAGCTCATAATGCTTGTTTAGATATTATTTCTTTTGATTAACGTTTACTTAAGAGCGATTCAAACCTGTTTACTTTATTGGATCTTGATTTCATTGCTTTAAGTACCTTCTCTAGTATTATGCCCATCTTTTGGTTAGGCTATAATAAAATTCTCTGGTACCTCGAAAGCCTCCGTAGGATACAAAGATCATTCCAATACACCCCAGCGAACCGTTTAAGCGTAATATTATGATGCCATTTTTTTACTATTATTGTCAGCTACTTAGCATTATTTGTGATAAAGCGTCACGATACCTCGCCGGAAGGCGAAGGAAGCAATTAATTTGGGGAGATCGGTGGTCAAATTGAAGGAAATGAACCCACCGTAGTAGCCAAGTCTCAGTTCGGTCCACATTTTCAGAGAAAGCAAATCGTAACAAAATAATTTTATTCCTCTTTTGCACGGTAATAAGYACGGTACTGGCAGAATCAGTTGCCTCATAAAATTTGAAGTTATTTCATCTTAGCGACCAAAGAGAATCTTCCATGTCTCATCCAGCCAAGCTTATCAACGAAACTTCTTGGCGCATTGTCAACGGGGACTACGACGAAGCAATCATTGCTCTGACGAGGACGTTGATGACCCTGAAACTCGCCTTGTCTGGTGATGCAAGAATCACTGCTGCATGCAGTATGATCGATGAYGAAAGCGACGGTTGCAGGGTTGAATGTGATTCACTATCGTCTTCGTCGTCTACTGGTTTCGAATACGAGTTTTTCTCGTCGTCCAGATCCTCGTCCTTTCTCAAGACTTGCGCCGCTGTGAAAGGACTTCGCAGCAAAAACATCAATGAACACGATCCTTCTGTACAATCTAGTTGCGACGAATACAACAGCAGATGTCGTCTTGCTCAACACAAATTCGAAATATCAATATTTCAAGACCCTATCATGGTACGGGGCRAAGACTTCCGAGCTAACTTGGACGAACAAAGTTGTGAAGAGCTCTCCTATGTAGCAATCTACAATCTAGCACTTGCACACCATTTGAAATCTGTGGAACTTGCATCGTCCTCGGAACAAACTTTACGGAGGGTCTACTTACAAAAAGCCTTGTCGCTTTACGAACATTCCCACCAAATCCTTATGAAACAAACGATCAACGTTGGTGTTCCCGTCATCCATTCCATGGCTCTCGTCAGCAATTTAGGTCAAATTCACAACTCACTCGGCGATCAGCGAAAGGTYGAAACATGCATGCAATATCTTTTATCGACAATTATGTATGCTGTTGACTGTGGATTGGTTGACTCACTGGGGACCTCCATCGACGGCTTTTTTGAAATGATAATGCCTCTCGTGTCCAAAAACGACGCAGCGGCAGCAGCTTAGGAAGGTGTTCATCTGGARRATTTCAATTTACTAGGTTGATCAACAATGCCATTTGTATGATATACTCAACAAGAATCTGTAACAATAGTGAGATAACAAGCTGATCCCACCAGGGTTAGAAATTACATAGCTACTGATCTTATTGTACTAATACTGTAGTACTAGTCATGACCTAAACATTCTCTTCACCAAGTGGTGCACCACTACTACTACTACTACTACTTGTAGCAGTAGTACTAACTGGTGGTTTCAGGAGGTATAGTAGTACTAGCTACTACTACTAGTACTACTACTACTAGAAGTACTACTACTACTACTACTACTACTACTACTACTACTACTACTACTACTGGGGCCATAGCATCAGGGCTAGCTGCTGTTCATCCACAGCAGAGTAGCAGTACTACTACTACTAGTACTACTACTAGTAGTAGTACTATTAGTATTACTACTACTAGTAGCTAGTAGTAGATGGTCTATTTTTGGTCTCTCTGTCTGTCTGTCAAAAAGTAGTAGCCCACCTAGATTAACGGGAATCGGTGTAGCGAGTCCCGTGCGCAGTGGACTGAACGCTTGCGCGCGCCTCAACGCGCGCGCAACAGAATGGATGGCTGTAAGCGAAGCACTGACACCCTCAACAAGAGGTGCACCTCAGCCTCCAGCAGCAACAAGCTGTTCACTCAACATACTGTTGTGTGCACTAACTGCAAACAGTAACTGTAGTTAATAATACGCAACGCTTTGGGAAGGGGAGGGGACTAAGCCCGAGAGTTTACCCCCATCCTGTTCCCCTGCTGGACTTCCTGGCCATGGTTACCACAGCCCAGGCACTCCCGGTCACTTACCGGGACCTCTACGAGAACCCCGAAGCCAACCCCTTCGGAGCTGACTCCAACCGCCGAAGGACAGCCTATGAAGGTATCTATCAGAAGTTTCGCAGCGGTCCTAATCCGACACCAGCAAAACTGCTGCTAGAAACGCTCCTCAACATCTTCGATGCCCAAGCCGTTGGAGGACTAGGAATCTTCGTAACAGACCACGATTCTATCCTACGGCTGCGAGTCATACATGGACTACGGAAATATCCGGGTGACCTCCTCCGGAGCTCCCCAAACGCAGGGAAGGTCTTTGGGTACCTAGACGATGTAGTGTCTGGGATAGGAGAACTAGTACAGGTCAAATCAAGCTTGCTTGGGCTCACCAAAGAGGTCAGGGTCTGCACCTTGGGGCAACACATTGTAAGCCTCGAAGCGGATCCGTCGCTGGAATATATCCCCCCAAAGGAGGAAGATGATCCCGAGGCCACGGAGCTACTCCGTTGCCGACAGACCTTCTACATCCCCTTTGAACTGATGCCTCTTCTAAGAGGAAAAGGTCTCACCCCCAGGGAAGCTTTCTTTATCATACACCCGTGGTTAGTAAGCCAACGATTAGAGGCTGTTGCGGTGCCAGTACTAGACACCTTACGAGTCACAGGAACACATGTTAACACAGCCACTAACACGGTTACTTGCAAGACAGCACATGCCAAACCAGGCCCCTTATTCCGGATGGAACCCGGACTGACACTGTACATGGACCGCCAAGTACTACACCGTGATTTAGCGGGGCTTGCTAAGCCTAAAGCCTCAGCTCCCAGCCCGGAAACCGCGGCACTCGCGGCTGCGGTTGCCACTCTCACGGACAACCAACTCAAAGTTAACGAGGCTAATGAAAGGCGCCGAGCTGAAGAAGCCAAGCCACCTTCCATGGAAGACAGTTTTGGGAGACTAAATGTATCACGACTCATCTCGCTTTGCAACCGCGCCAGCTGGGAGGAGCTTCCCCCGGTCTATCAAGCATGGACAGCTAGTAAAAAGAAAGGGGAAAAGCTACACGCCTTGTTCCAGAGCTTTGTCGACCAAACGGCTAGGGAATTAGGGACCCCTTCCCCCTTCGTCACCACAGCCACACTTAAAGCCTTCCAATCCTTCTGTTTCTTTGGAGTCGATGAATGTGATCTAGGGGAAGGGATATTGCCTATGTCCCTGGCTCCACCTGGAGGGTCCCCAACCGCTCGCAAACGGCAAGTGGAGGAAGCAAAAACAGCACTTGCTTATGACACCCTTATGGCCACGGCAGGGAACTCTGTGAGCTTAACTGACGCCCTTAAGCTGAGCAAGTCAAAGAGCTACATACCCCTCGACTGGGTAGAGGCTCTCTTACAGCTAGAAGGCTACTTGCCGGTCCTCGCCACACTACTAGGAGTTGAACATGGCCTAGTGAGGAATTACGGAGCCGAACTTGAACGGCTCAAAAGCATGCAGCTAGGCCTACGATACTCACTTGTAGACACCTACGGAGACAAGTTAGCCCCCGCAATGATAGTGTACTATTTCAATTGCGAGTACGCTACTGGCTGAAAGAACAGTGGGACAGTCCCCCCGGTCAGACCACAGACATTCCTTCCTTCACCAGTGATCTTCGACTCTTCCAAATGTCACAAAGCTTGAGCTGGCTACCAGTTGTTACTGATGTGCCCGCATTACACAGCCTCAAACAGAAGACCACAACAGCACCGCTGCAAACCAGTCGAAGCAGAGGAAAGGCCAGCACTTCTACCAACACTACCAATACTGGGCAAGGATCTCCTCAACAGCGAATCGAAAACCAGCAGTGAGACCCCCGGTTCAACACAGCCGATCCGGCCATGAGCGAAAGAGTGAAAGGATGGAAAATTGCCAAGGCTATGGGTGTTATGAAAGAGAAGGGAAAGGGGCCCTGCCTCAGGAATGACGGCAAGGAGATGTGCCACTCTTGGCATGCCAAGGGCTTCTGCTACAGCGGCTGTAAGTTGAGCTACGACCATCATGAACCCCAAGAAGACGAGAAGGATAGGTTCTGGGCCTGGTGCCAAGAGGCCTATGGGCCACAATGAAGAGGGGGCAGGCAGCTCCCTCACCAACCAGCTGCTGTGCCACTGCCCCCCCCCGAATATCTGCCGGATGGTGTCAGACTCAGTAGCTCTAGAAACAAGCCCGAGCCCTTGTAAGCGGCTCCGGCTCGAGGAAAAGGGGAGTCCACCCCTTTCACCAGAACTAGGTAAGTCCCGAACCAGGGCCTGGCCCCCGTTTAAAGATAAGCAGGCTATGGAGCCCGTTCCAGTCACGCCCTGCCTACATCCAGTGCCACGCCGCTACCAGGCTACAAGTATTGGAACCGAGTTACATGGCAGCCTCCGGAGCCAACAGTCGGCGGCAGCAGCCGACCCCAACCGAGGGGACCGGAGGTCTGTACCGCCTCCACTCAAGAACCAACACTATGAATCTACCGCCTCCCTCACCTCACCCTATCCGGAGGACAGACTGGACCGACACGTAGCTCAAGCTCTAGCAACCTTTGCGGCCGCTGGGTCTTGGGATGAGTTTGTCCGCACAGTACGGGGGAGGGGGGACCTGCATCCGGATGTAGGAAAGCTTGCACACCCCGCCGCCAAGCTACTGAAGGAGTTCCAGACCAACGGGACCCCGGTGGAAATGGCAACACCCCCGTGGACCAAAGGACAAATTCAATCTGCATTGGCCCGGGGACCGCACAAATCCTCAAGGAATGGGATTGAATTCCTATGGGAGGAGTATGCTGACATGATGGATAAGCAGCAGTGGACAGTGCTACCAGCCTCAGTGGTTCAGGACATCCCGGGCTTGAGGCTCAGTCCTCTAGGGCTTGTCCCGCAGAGGGGGCGCAGGGACCAGATGATCTCCGATTACAGCTACTTTGGAGTCAATGGGGACACCCACCAATGGGCCCCCTTAGAGGCTATGCAGTTTGGGAGAACTCTGCAACGGTTACTAGTCCGGATCCACCGAGCAAATCCACGGTTCGGCCCCGTCTACATGTCGAAAATAGACCTCTCAGATGGATTCTATCGGTTGTGGCTGTCCCCCAAAGGAAACATCCAGTTAGCTGTGCTGTTCCCTGCTAGGGAGAACGAGCCCCCTCTTGTCGGGATTCCCCTAACGAATCCCATGGGATGGTGCTCATCACCCCCTAACTTCAGCGCCTGCACTGAAACGGTTGCGGACCTCGCTAATGAGGTCCTGGTGTGCCCCAAACGATTCACCGCGCTGCAAACTCTACCGCATCGGCTGGAAAAAATATCAGAGACTCCCTGCAAAGATGAGGGGAACCCCGCTACCAGGCAACCAGCGGGGCCCTCAAGGGGGGCTACCAACGCGTACAAGGTCCCTCTGAAATATTGGGACATATACGTAGACGATTTCTGTGGCTTGGCACAGGGGAACCGGTGGACTAGACAGGCAGTTAAACGAGCCCTCTTCCACCAATTAGATAGAGTCTTCCGGCCATTGGACTCCACCGACTCCTGCTTCCGGCAAGAACCCGCCTCACTCAAGAAACTGAGGAAGGGAGACGCCACATGGGCCACCCGCAAGGTGACCCTGGGCTGGTTAGTGGACACCATCAGCGGGACGCTCCAGCTGCCACTCCACCGGGTGCAACGGCTCCAGGATATACTGGCGTCCATTAAACCAAAACAGAAGCATGTGGGGATCCCAGACTGGCATAAATTGCTAGGGGAACTACGGTCCATGTCAATTGCCTTGCCTGGATCCCTAGGACTGTTCTCAGTACTACAGGAGACCCTTCGACACAAGGAGGGGGGACGGAACCGGCTACGGTTATCCGCCCCCCTCCACAGTTTCCTCGAGGATTTTCGATACATTGCAAAGGACCTCGCTAGCCGGCCGACCCGGATTGCGGAACTAGTCCCGGACCCATGCCCGGCCACTGTGGGAGCTTGCGATGCTGCAGGAGCGGGAATGGGTGGCGTACACTTTGTTCCTCTACCAGATGGATCGATGCAGCCCTTGCTCTGGCGAGCAAAGTTCCCTGGTTGGGTCCAGCGAGAGCTTGTGAGCTTCTCTAACCCGGAAGGAACCATAACCAACAGCGAGCTGGAACTGGCTGGGTCGGTAGCTCACAATGACATACTTGCCCAGGCAGCTCAGGTGGCAGAGCGAACCACACTGAACCTGTACTACGACAATACAGCCACAGTCTACTGGCAACGGAAGGGGGCCGCAACCACACTTGGACCTCCTGCTTATCTACTGCGGCTGCAAGCACTACACCAGAGGGAGTTTCGTTATGTGCCGCTCCGGGACTACATCCCGGGGGAGGAGAACACAATGGCAGACACTCTGTCGCGGGCTTGGGACCTTGATCACTCACAGCTGTTGGATCACTTTAATACTGTTTATCCACAGAGCAAACCCTGGGCCGCATGCCGCCTCCGGAAGCCCATGTATTCCGCACTGATCTCAGCCTTGTCCAGGAGGAGATGCGATCCAGTGTCACTGAAGGGTACACCAAAAAGAAGGATGCCCATTGGAAGCAATGGCTTCATTTCTGTCTGTCGCAGCGCCTGGACCCCTTCCTTAGAGCCACGGCAGACCCGGTGCCCCTCCTCCAAGTGTTCGGCACCAGATACCATGACGGGAGGCTGTCGTCCAGTGGCAACCGCGCCAGAGCTCATACAGTATCAGACGCCATTCGCTCAGTGGGCCAGATGATCACCCGGATGACTATAGGCTAGCCTCGCAGTATCGGGCCTACCGGCAAGCCGACAGGCCCCCAGCGCGGGTTAAACCTATTCCCATTACGATTATCATTCATGCACTCAAGTTCGCGTATCATCAACGACCATCAGAGGAACGGAAGGCAATCGCTAACATGATGTGTATTGCCTTTTATTTCTGTCTCAGGCCTGGTGAGTACACTGGTACCACCACGGATGATCAAGCCTTCTCCTTACAGGACGTTGCTTTCTTCATTGGCGCCAGACGTCTCGTCCACGAGCTGGCTTCGGATGCCGAAATCTCCGCAGCCACCTCCATCCAACTCACCTTTACAACCCAGAAGAATGGTCACAAAGGGGATGTTATTGCACACTCCCGGAGCAATGACCCCCTGTGCTGTCCTGTGACGGCAACCATTCGCCAGTTCCTCACCCATCGACATCATCATGCCCCGGCGCTGCCTGCAGGCTCCATCAAGCTCGCAAGCTATTACAACAGCCGCGGCATCAACATACGTGTAACGGCCAGTATGATTACCACCACCATGCGGTGGCACGCTGCTGTGCTTTTCCACACCACGGGTATCACCCCAACCACGCTCAGCGCTCGGTCGCTGCGGGCGGGAGGCGCCATGGCCCTCCTACACGGCCGCTGCGACTCCAACGTTATCAAACTCCTTGCACGTTGGCACAGTGATGCCATGATGCGTTATCTCCACCAGCAGTCAGTCCCTCTGTTCCAACGGCTCGCCCCCCTCATGTTCAACAAAGGCACCTACTGCTTCCTTCCCGACGAGAGCGTCCCCGGCTCGCCCTAACGACCGCACACGCCCCCATCGGTCCCTCCTGCTCTTCCCCACCTCGCTTCGCTCCCTCCCTGTGGCCGCTGGCCCTCTGGCAGTTATCTGCTATGAGACTGTATCGGCCAGTGGGTTGCGTCACACAAACCGATATAATGGTGTTTTAAGTTTCCTGCGTGCACGAAAACAAATTCCCGCGCGTGTTTTT